TGTGTAGTGGAAGAGCATTCGGTTGTAGCGTTGGTTGAACGGATGGTCGCAAGTTCAATTCTCTCTCAGTGCATAAATAAATAGATTTGAATTGTTATGGGTATTTTCAACAAAAGTATTACAGCTGAAATTTTAGCTCTGTTATGATACTACCGTTTTTGCATATCTATTAACAATAATTACTTATAACACATACTTGGGCATTGTGTTTAAGTCGACAGCCAAACGACATCTATGCTTTTAGGCCTATTATTCATTTGTAGACTGTAAGTATTATCTATATATATATATATATAAGAGATTTCCACGTATATAGTCACTCATCACGATATCTCTGGAACCATTAGAGCTAAAGACTTGAAATTTGGTAGGAATATTCTTTTCACCGAGTAGCGGTCAGCTAAGAAAGGATTTTTTTTAAACAATGTAAATAGCAAAACAACGTTTGCAGGGTCAGCTAGTATATCTATAAAAGAAGAAACCGATAGACTGATTCACTGACTGATTGATCAACGCACAGCTCAAACCGCTGGGTCTAGAAGTATGTAATTTTACACAAATGTTCCTTAAGTGACGTAGGTGTGCACTAAGAAAGAATTTAAAAAAAATCTATCCCTAAAGGTGCCAAATGGGGGTAGAAAATTCATATAAAATGTCCTTATTTTTGGTAGTAGCGTAATCAAACTTACAGTCAATATTAGAAGTAATAAAAAAAGTTGTTACAATTTTTTCAAACCAAGAAAGTGTTAATAAAAAACTATTGTCACAATAATCGTAAGATGCATCTTTAGCAACGAACGTTGTTCGATAGATAACATTCAGTGCAGTGATGTCCTTCAGAGGTTATGTTTTGTCCATTGATATAATACTTATTAACTCAATGGTTTTGTCCCTCTATGGCTCTACAAACACACGCAACTTGACAATTCTGCCAAAGTCGACTGTGTAATGACACAATAGACTTTGGCAGAATTACATACAAAAAAAAAACAAAAAAAACCGTTCAGTCAGTAAATCAGTCAACAAGTTATTTTTTACCTTTTTTTAAACATATACCTATTACCTATCTTGATTCATTGTATCCTCTACGTTGTCTGATGTCGACCAACACGGCTAAAGCTAGTATAGAAGTAGGTACTCAAGCCAACTTAACATTTTAATTAGATATATATAATACACCCTGTTAGGAACATCGTGACGAATATTGAAATAGCGTATTCAGACCATCATTCTGAGTCAAAAATAATTGGTAGGCAACTAGTTGTTTTCGGTGCAAAACAGTCTACACACACTAACATAATTTACCTCGGGGACACGTTTAGTCCAGTCAAAATACCAATAGTAATAAATAATACGAAATGCAAATAGGTATGCAGGTGCAGGCACGCACACATACGTCCGCGCGCGGCGATCCGGCGACCAACGCACACTTGTACACTTGTGTACATACACATCATACTTTCTTTTAAGACACGATAGAGTAAGATCAATAATTAATTAATCGATATAGAAGCTTATGTGTGCAGATCATAAGATCGATATGATTACAAAGTAAAGAAGTATATGTTTTATTAAAGAAAATTTTAGGATCACATTGCTTTCTAACTAACTCTATTAGAAGTTTAATTTTTGTATATTTAACTGGCGGTAGGTACTGAAGCAGCAGGTAGAACACGCATAAGCAGACAAAAGTAAAGCTTTTATGGAATTGTTGTGTATTTCTTCTGTGTTTTACATACTGAATGTAATAGTCGTTGAAATATCTATCTTCTATACAAATAAATAAAATTGGAGTGTCTGTTTGTAACATTAAAATAACCGCTTTTTAACCGACTTCAAAAAAAGGAGGAGGTTCTCAATTCGACTGTATTTTTTTTTTTTTTGTATATTTGTTACGCGATTACTCCGGCAATTATAAACCGATTTGAATAATTCTTTTTTTATTTGGTAGGTCATACGTCAGAGGTGGTCCCATTGTCACCAGGTCAGGATCTGATGATGGGATCCTGGGGAAATCGAGGGAAACCCTCAAATTTTGTAGGCATATACACTGTTTATCAGAAATTATCTTAATCTATGTAGATTTTTGCATCTAATGGTCACCATCTGATGTTGCTGAGCTGATGATGAAGCTGATGATGAATGGTTTAGGAGTATGGGATCTCTGTAACAAAATTATGTAATACCATCGAATTTGAATGTGTTTGAGTCTAATTAATAAGGACTCCGATCCTATGTGATATTCAGGGTCTGATGATGGAGACGGTAAATAGCCATGGGAACTCTGTAATAAAATAAAGCAATTCCGCCGTGTTTGTGCTCATTTGATTCGTCTCGACTAGGAGCTTCATGCTAGTCGTTTTTTAACCAACATCAAAAAAGGAGGGTTTTTGATTCGACAGTATGTTTTCTTTTTGTATGTTTGATACGCGATCATTCCGCCAATTTTGACAATCGTACATTTTGTTTGTCCACGGCACCTAGGATACACGGATACGATAAACATTTTTAGAGTTGGGCTGTGAGTGTGAGCGTTTATTTATGACCTTAAAAATCACACTTACTTCCCACGAAAAATTAAAAAAATATTTTTAAAAAAAATTGAAAACTTCAAACAACTAAAAAGCAATTTTTAACCGACTTTCAAAACACAAAAGAGGAGGTTCTCAATTCATCTGTATTTTTTTTTTTTATGTATGTTTGTTCCGTGATTTCTCCGTCAATTGTGGACCGATTTTCAAAATTCTTTTTGTTATCGAAAGGGTATGCTCCCGAATTGGTCCCATTATCACCAATTCAGGATCTGATGATGGAATCCTAGAGAAATCGAGGGAAACCCTCACAATTATTGGGAATTTGACAGCCCCGACAACGTGTTTTAGCTACGAGCATTTCTTTTGCCAAACAAACCATGGCAACCGTCAGAGACTGCGCGATGTGATGCGCAGAGAACTTGCAGTATTTATGTCCCTACAGTAATTTTCGTTGTATTAAGAAGAAAAGGTTGAAATTTAGTATTCTATCTTGTTAAAATAATTCGGATAGACGTTTTGTTGCTATGGATGGCATCGCATTTCGTTTGTAAGTAATTTTATACTTAATTTATTAAAATAGTTCTGGAAAAAACTCTTAAATTTTGTGTGGGTCAACTTTCTAAGGAGAGGCCTATGTCCAGCAGTAATTTAATATAATATTTAATATAATCTAACAAACTACAGTTTGTTACTATACATTACGGTACGTAGTGTTTTAAATATCGTACTTATCTACTCATTACAAACATATCCTACACTAAAAATTGTAAAATAAACCCTTTTAAAAAAAAAGTTGAACCGACTTCAAACAACACCGACAAAGAGCACTAAAAATTAAAAAATAATTACAAATCTAAGTAAAAAACTATAATAAGTACCCTCAATGTAACAGGTAACATTATAATACCAATAGTCCCTTCTAGTCTGTTTGAAGTCGGTGCCAAGCTCGATGCACAATAAGTAATACTGGTCTATGGCAGCTGTATATTAGCACAATGAAAAATTAAGAATTCAAAATAATTGTAATGAAACATCGAAGATTTTGTTAATAATAAAGACCAACCAGATAAATTACGTGCGCAAACTTATCAACTACTTATTAAAGCATTCAAAATAATAATATAATTGGAGATGTGCGTCCACTTTAGCTCGTTCAACATGTTTTGCGCAGCATGAAGACTGTTGCAGCTGCCGCGCTACATTCTACCATGCCTATCAAGCACCTATTTGGCTTGGCACCGACTTCAAACAGACTAGAAGGGACTATTGGTATTATAATGTTACCTGTTACATTGAGGGTACTTATTATAGTTTTTTACTTAGATTTGTAATTATTTTTTAATTTTTAGTGCTCTTTGTCGGTGTTGTTTGAAGTCGGTTCAACTTTTTTTTTAAAAGGGTTTATTAATAAATGCATATGTACGTTTACACGGTACATATGCCAAAATAACATTTTTACAATTTTTGTCTGTCTGTCTGTCTGTTTGTTCCGGGTAAGCGGGAACGGCTGGACCGATTTCGACGGGACTTTCACTGGCAGATAGGTGATGACATAACTTAGGCTACTTTTTTTAGACTAGCTTCGCCCCGCGGCGTTGCCCGCGGTTATAACAACAAACGCGGGTAACACCGCGGGTCTCAGCTAGTCGTAAATAAATCAGCCCTTTAGTGCGCGTGAGTATGGGCATATGGTGAAGCAAGAGGAAATGCTTTTTTGGCGCTTCGTATTTACATTCAGCGTTACCCTAACGCGCGTATACCTATGGATAGACGCGTTATAACTCGGGCATATCAACGTGTGCTGGATAACATTCCCATAGTAAAAGAGCGGGAAGGCTCTGGCAGACATATCAGCGCGCGGTTTAGCAGAAAGTACTAGAAACCGTTCAGCGTAATCCGCGTCTCGGCACTCGAAGTACTGCGAAGCTTCTGCAGAGTCACGGGACGTCTATATCACACTGGACTCTACACATAATCCTTCGCCGGGACCACCAACGGCCCTATCACATACATAAGCGCTCGTGCCCGGGGATGAAAACCGTCGTGTGCCGAGAGTTGGCGAATCAACAGCGGCATAATCCTACTTATGTAGTAGTGATTTGGACCGATGAGTCCACATTTACGAGGAACGTCATGTGGAATCGCTGGAATTATCATATTTGGTCGCACACCAATCCACGTGAGTATCAACAGACGGGACATCAAACGCGTTGGTCCGTAAATGTTTGAGCGGGGATCTACAATAAAATAATAGTTTAAAAAAACTAAAATTAAAAACACGCTTTTATAGAAAATCTAACTAAAAAACAGAAAATAAAGTTTAATAAATTTGGATTAAGAATAGTGTAAATTTGATTAAGTTTGATTAAGTACAGTGTAAAAAAAAAATGAATGTACGTTACAGTAAACTAAGGACTAGATGGCGTTGTGTGAATGTAGTAAAATATAAATATTTATTTTTACCAGAGCGGATGAATGGGCAACGGTATCTGAACTTTTTGCAGCGATATCTAGTCGATACCCTCATGAATGGGATCAAATGGAAGATGTTCCTATTGCCCGAATACCTAGAATTTGGTTCCTGCATGACGGTGCGCCGCCGCACGTCGTGCGACCAGTGCGCGACCATTTGAATGAGATGTTCCCCCAAAGGTGTATTGGGAGATTTGGGCCTCACGCATGGCCAAGGCGTTCACCTGACTTGACACCTTTAGTCTTTTTTGACCGAGTGTGACACTGCGGAAGAAATGCGTCAGCGCATAAGGCACGCCTTTCAGAAGCTAAACAGTGTTATCGTAGAAGATCCCACGATGATGCCTCGCCTCCATGTTGAGATATTGCACCGTGCCCGAGTTTGTGAACGAGTTGGAGGACGTCACTTCGAGCTGCATCTCATAGGAAGAGAGAGACCTTAAGGTATTGTGTAAACCATGGAGCTGATTTAATTTATTGTTATTAAAAAACTGTACTTACGTAAATGATAATCACTTAAAACATTGTCAAAAGGACAGACCTCGTATTTAAGTAGATCGGTGCTAGAACTAAAATATCGTAAACTGTGTAAGTGTGAGAAAAAAACTGTATTCGTTAATTTATGTAACGAAATTTAACCGCGATCTTCTGCAGTCTGAAGGTATTGGAACTTAGCTTACGTCTGCTGTTCTCTACCTCTTAAACGGTTGATTAACTACATAGTGAATGGAAGCACCATCGTCACATGCGTGATATTTAAAGTTAATTAATTTATTATTTAATTAGTTACAAAGAGAAGATTAATTATTTTTCTGCAGGTAAATTGGACTGAACCATAGTTTAGATTCCATAATACTAAATAGTATGTTTGGTGCGATTCAGCGACTTTAATCTATTAAGTTATGACACGAGCACCAACGACCTGAGTTTGTTGACACGGTGGCAGGTAGGTACTTAATGTAGGTAGTTTTTGTTTTATGATAGAGGGGGCAGACGAGCGGACGGGTCACCTGATGGAAAGTGACCATCGCCGCCAATAAACGTCTGCAACTCAGGCGTCACAAACGCGTTGCCGGCCTTTTAGGAAGGAGTACCTACGCTCTTTTCTTGAAGGTCGTGTTGGTCCGGAAATACCGCAGACGATAACCCGTTCCACAGATTGGTTGTGCGGGGCAAAAAGTGTCTCGAAAAGCTCACAGTAGTGTAGCGCCAACTATCCAGGTGATAAGGATGAAAATTTTGCCGTGTGGATCGATGGCGGAAATTTGCGGCTGGTACTAGTCCGAATAATTCCTCGGAGCACTTTCCATATGCGATAGAGAATGCACAGTGAAACCACATCTCTACGTAACGCCAAGGGATCGAGCCGATCGGAGATGATATGTTAACGCGCGAGCGTTTGTCAGCTGTACGCGCGCGAGTTACTTAGTATACTGCAGCAATAGATTACATTAGTACCAGTACATTGCGTAGCGCAAAATAAAACTAATCACTGTAATCCTTTATCTTTAATTTTTATGATGAACTGACTTTTGCATCGCGATAAGTACCCCCAGAAAGACGTTTTAGTGAGATCTATGAGACCTTGTGCCTTACATCCTGTATATAAAATGTTAAGTTGGCTGGAGTAATTTTCAAAAACTCAAAGTTATGAACCGATTGGCACAACCCGCTTCTAAGATATTTTTATTTATTTTTTGCGTCAGTTTTGTCCTTTATTTTTCATCAATGTACCACAAAGTATGACAAGGTGTGGCTAGTAACCTATAATTTTCATTAAATAAATATATTAAATTTGAATTGAATCTGTATATCTACACGTACCTGATAAACAAGTTACGTTAGTGTAAAATAATAAATCAAAGAAGGAAAAATCATAAAAGTAGGGGGTCAAATTAGCTGAAGAGTGGTGTGTGAGGAATTCACCCCTTAGTTTCTTCATTGGATTATCCCGTTTATAGGCGCATTGTTCTCTCTGTAAGTCATTTAGTAATCATTATCATACTAGTTAAGACCCATTTCAGTCGACTGAATTTCAAGGTGACAAGGACTTAGGACGGCTCCTTGTCAGTACCGTTTTCCCCTACAGCTACGGACCCCCCGATTGAAGATTTTGTTTAAGTCTTTACATGACAAATGAGGCAGGAACCTTTCATATCGTGATGTAGGTTCTCGCTTCTGATTCGTCGGTTACGGTGACGTCACTACGTAGCGTCGATGGGAAAAGTAGTTAAGTTGATGAATAGACAGAATTTGTGTTTGACGAACTATATGGGGTAGTGCAGGTGCATGCGGTTGTAGCGTTCGCGTTGGTTGAACGGATGGTCGCAATTTTTATTGGCTTTAAGTGCAATGCGTGCCTAAATAAATAGATTTGAATTGTTTTTTTGTTATTTTAACAAAAGCATTACAGCTGAGTATGTACCTCTGTTATGATACTACCGTTTTTCCTTAATTAGGAGTTAACAATAAGTACTTTATTGTATTTAACACAACAGTGAAACGACATCTATGTTTTTAATTCTATTATTGAGTTGTAGACTATAAGCATTTATAAAATGTTAAGTTGGTGTGAGTACTCTTTAAAAAACCCAAAAGAACGAAAGAAAGAAGGGACAATTTGGTTCTTAACTTTTCATCAATCTGCCACAGAGAAGTATTGCTATACTTTTCTGTGCAGCTGTAATTTTCATTAAATAAATATATTAAATTTGAATTAGATCTATATACGAGTATCTACAAGTAGCTGATAAAGTTACGTTAACGTCTTCATTTTCATACACAAGTAGATGTAAAATAAGGAATAAAGGTAAAAAATTAAATTGATCAAAAAGGGTGTCAAATTAGCTGAAGAGTGGTGTGTGAGGATTTCACCCCATAGTTTCATCATTGGATTTATTCCGTTTTAGGCATTGATTTGTTTAGACACTCATGTTGAATAAACTCAGAGGCGACAAGGACTTAAGACGGCTCCTTGTCAGTACCGTTTTCCCCTACAGCTACGGACCCCCCGATTGAAGATTTTGGTTAAGTCTTTACATGACAAATGAGGCAGGAACCTTTCATATCGTGATGTAGGTTCTCACTTCTGATTCGTCTATTACGGTGACGTCACTACGTAGCGTCGATGGGAAAAGTAGATAAGTTGATGAATAAACAGAATTTGTGTTTGACGAATGTGGTGTAGTGGAAAAGCATTCAGTTGCAACGTTGGTTAGATTGAATTTTCGCTCAATGTAATAAACGCATAAATAAGTCGATTTGAATTATTCTTGGTTAACAAAGGTTTATCTACATATAATGCATTATTGTCTGATACTGGCCAAAAAGGTAAATAGTCCTGTTGTACGGGAATCAATCGCCACGTCGCGCTCTCCCCCGGCTAACAATAGCCCCATTGCTATAGCAATAAGGGTTTTCTATGAGTTTCTTCAGTGTAGTTCAGTTGCAGATATATTCTTTTACCCCCAAAGTATGATTATAAAACATATTTATTTATCTAAATGTTAAAGAGTAATTTTATATTTACTAAGTTGATGTAAGGTTGATTTTGTTGATCTGAGTTTTGCAATTGTAATATTTAGTTTATTTTTAGTCAAATTAGTATAGATATAAGCGATTTGTTGCACACTGTAATGCTTATATTTAATTAACAAAGTGGTGTGGTGACGGATTACGAATACAGAGTGTCCCCTATTCATCCCGTGGGTGTCGTAAGAGCCGACTAAGGGAGCAAACTACGCAGAGAGAAGGAAAACTTGACACAAACCCTATACCAACCCGTCTGGCCAGCGTGGTGTAGTAGGGCAAAACCTAGTTTCTAAGGAGAGGCCTATGTCCAGCAGTGGACTGGTAAAGGCTGTTGATGATGAATTAATAAAGACTTAATTCTATATTTTTTATGTTATATGCCGCAAACGAGCGGACGGATTGCCTGATGGAAAGTGACTACCTTCAATCATGGACATTTGAAACTACAAGAACATTACCTGCATTTGAATGCTCTACCCCCTAAAGTTAGAGGTTTTTTTGGGTGTTTTAAAAAAAATGCTTTTTTCCTGTTAGACAGTGGTATCTCCATTAACAGATGTTCTCTCAATCCCAATTCAACTTGAAGAGTTTTGACATAACTCAGGAGGTTAAGAGTGGAAACTTATTAAAAGATAAACAGTGCTTACTGTGCTTAAGTAATGTAAAGGTTTTATTTGCTCTAATATTTTCCAGGTAAGGGTATTTAACAACATGTAACTAGTAGAGAAGGGGTGGGGGGAGGTTGAGGCTCCTTGGGGAGGCCTTTTTTCAGCAGTGGACGGTAATAGGCTGATGACATGTTATAGCACAACAAGAAAATGTTATAATATTTACTGTTGTATTATATATTAGTAGTATTATCTAATTATATTATAAAATTAGAATGAAACACAAAAACTGTCATTCTTGAGGTGTGGTGGTTTTGCAATAGTCGTGCCTAGACAAAGAATGCGATACGTCAGAAGCATGGCTTCCCTCAAGGGATGGAATAACATCACAAAAACCTGTATAAATCATATGATTTACAGATCATTTAATCACACCTGTGACTAGTTTACAAAACCAGTGCTACTTATTATTATTATTAAGCTAGCGCCAGGTGCTAAAATAGAAAAAAAAGGAATTTTGATTGATTTTAATGGCATTCATCTGTGTCTGTGACACTTCAGAAATACAGGTGACATCACTGTGACCAAAACCAATCATTTTATCATATGAATATGATTTAAAATTAGCAATAATTTCCATGTCTGCTCCCTTCGCATCGAAATGTCACGTCCTGAAACGCCATCTAGTCTGTTAAACTGGTACCGGTGTTAATGTCAAACGGAAGAGTCCATAAAAGCACCATATTCCATACATCAAGGCTGATTAGACCATGCTACAAAAAGAAGATAGAGCTCAGACGCGTGCTCTGAGTTCCATTTGATATAATGTATCGCGCGTCAGATAGGTGTCGCTATAGTTTACCATCAATATGTAAAGAACAAGGAGAACAACCTATAGGATTTGGCGGGAAAATTCTAAATGTCATTCTTGAAATTTATATTTTTTTAGCTGTGATTTTACCACAGATAAGAAATATGTATTAAATGAAATAATATTGTACACATATAATGTTATAGCTTAACGAATAAAGACACAAAAAGCTCTGCAGTCTCTACCTAGGTTGAGATGTGTTAAATTGTTATTATTATTACTTCACAATCAAGTGCATAATGAATTGAAAAT